ATCTCGGGTAAATACCGTCTGATTTCAAAATGTTATACCTTTTTTTAAAGGTTACGAAGCCTACTATCGATTGGCAATCAATAAATAAACATTCGTGGGATCATATCAAAATTATAGACAAAAAACGGTTAAGTCATGATGTAAACATTAAGTTGATGATTTTTTTGAATATCTAAGCCAAATATTGTCTAATTATGGAATGATATACCTTTTTAGACTCGTAACGATCAGTACTATCGATTGGCATTCAAAAAACAAACATCTAAATTTTGACCCAAAATTGAAAAAAAGCAAGGGGTTACATCACGTTTTTTGCTAAAAACGGGGTCGGCTCGAAAATCAAAACTTTTTTGATGATTTTTATTGAATATCTCGGGTAAATACCGTCTGATTTTAAAATGTTATACCTTTTTGTAAAGGTTACGAAGCCTACTATCGATTGGCAATCAATAAATAAACATTCGTGGGATCATATCAAAATTATAGACAAAAAACGGTTAAGTCATGATGTAAACATTAAGTTGATGATTTTTTTGAATATCTAAGCCAAATAATGTCTAATTATGGAATGATATACCTTTTTAGACTCGTAACGATCAGTACTATCGATTGGCATTCAAAAAACAAACATCTAAATTTTGACCCAAAATTTAAAAAAAAGCAAGGGGTTACATCACGTTTTTTGCTAAAAACGGGGTCGGCTCGAAAATCAAAACTTTTTTGATGATTTTTATTGAATATCTCGGGTACATACCGTCTGATCTCAAAATGTTATACCTTTTTTTAAAGGTCACGAAGCCTACTATCGATTGGCAATCAATAAATAAATATTCGTGGGATCATATCAAAATTATAGACAAAAAACGGTTAAGTCATGATGTAAACATTAAGTTGATGATTTTTTGGAATATCTAAGCCAAATATTGTCTAATTATGGAATGATATACCTTTTTAGACTCGTAACGATCAGTACTATCGATTGGCATTCAAAAAACAAACATCTAAATTTTGACCCAAAATTGAAAAAAAAGCAAGGGGTTACATCGCGTTTTTTGCTAAAAACGGGGTCGGCTCGAAAATCAAAACTTTTTTGATGATTTTTATTGAATATCTCGGGTAAATACCGTCTAATTTCAAAATGTTATACCTTTCTGTAAAGGTTACGAAGCCTATAATCGATTGGCAATCAATAAATAAACATTCGTGGGATATCAAAATTATAAACAAAAAACGGTTAAGTTATGTTATGTCGTTTTGGAACGTCACATCTCCGCGCGGAGCTATGTCGTTTTATAACGTCATATTTCCAGGCGGGGTTATGTCGTTTTGGAGTTATGTCGTTTTGGAACGTCATATCTCCAGGCGGGAGTAAGTAAGAGATTCTAGTCGGGAGCTCCCGACTAGGGGATACGCTGAACCCTCTTCTTCCAACATCAAATACATATATATTCTATTTTAGAAGCTATATGTCAAGTTTGGTGACTCTAGCTCTTATTATTTACCAAAATTGCCCGAAAAACAGGATATCGATATCGATTTTCATCGATTGCTTGGAAACGGAGTAAGTTATCGATTATCGGAAACAAATTTGATCTACGCAGGTTCTAGGCGCACCTACATCTACAATTTCAAGTCTCTAGCTAGGCTCTGAGATCCTTGCGTTCATACATACGGACGGACAGACGGACATGGCTAGGTCGACTCGGCTATTGGTGCTGATCAAGAATATATATACTTTATGGGGTCAAAGATGCTTCCTTCTACCTGTTACATACATTTGGATTTTGCACAAATACAATATACCCTTATACCTATTTTTAATGGGTTTAGGGTATAAAAAGTTGAGTCGGAAAGACTTGAGAGTGAGATCAAGAGCGAGAGAGAGAGAGAGAGAGACTTATCAAGTTAATTTCCAGTATTATTGATATATATTATTATTTTCGAATTTTCGTTCAAGTGTGTTACAAAGAGAAGGTTAAGCCGGGAGAGTTTAACAAATAGTTGGCCATTATACTCACATTGTGTGCTGCGTGTAATGCAATTTAGGTCTGTCACCTTTGTATAGTTTCTCATTTAAAGTTTTTAGAGTTTATGAAACTCAATTTCAATGAGTTTTTCTTTTTAATTAGAAGCCAAGCGTGTGTGCGTGGGCGATTAATGAGTTCGGGCTGCAACTTTTTTGATTACTCGGGCACCGCCCCGCCCCCCACCTACCGCCGCTTATTGATCGGCTTTTGCGTTGTCATTTGCTCCAGTTCTCACCGTCTAAGCCATGGGTTTCCTTTTCCACTCGCCTTGTGCTTTTTTCTATGCTAGCAACGCATTTAACGCAACAATTTTTCACATACACAAATACACTCGGAGAAAAAGTCAAGAACAAATGTTTCCAGCAATCAGGTTTAAACTTTTTGAGCATACTTTTTATCGCACACACTTAAATGCTGAAGCTTGGATTATTCGACATAAGTTTAAATATACAATTAAAATGTAGAGAGCTAAACGGTGTAAATTTCATGCTTGATTTTGTTGAATTTTCTCTGAGTGTAGACTCTTGTATTGGCACTTAAGCTATAAGCTTTTAATGAAGCTTATTTACGTTTTACTGAAGCTAACAAAACCCTCAAAACGTGCCCCACAACGCTTTTGCCCGAATGTCTTGTCTACACACGCACACACACACACACGCACACTGGGCTCTTGATTAATGCATGTTCATAGCGCTAAGCATTGCCAGCGAGGAGCGTAGGGGCTTCATGTTGGGTGGGGGGTGGGGAGGTTCGGGCTCTACTGTGGGGCAGCTACCGCTTCGCATTACAAGCGCCAATTCGTCGCGTAGGTAATAAGATTGATTTTCACTTTTTCGCTTTTGGCCAAAACCAAAGCTGACGCCCCTGCCGCCTGCCGCCTGTGCACAGTCCATCCCTGCCCGCGGGCAATTACTCACACGTGGGGAAGAAGGGCTCGCGCTTCGTCTCCTGCAGCTCGACCGCACACACACACACACATACGCACACACAAAAACGGACTAAAACTTGATTAATTATAGTCATTGATTTGCTTTCCACGGCTGTTGCTGCTGCTTCTTCTTCTACTTATTTCTACTTTTACTTTTGCTGCTACTGCTTCTTCTTTCTTTGGTGCGCCCTGCCCTTCATTAATTTGTGTTACGTTGTCAAGCGCCGCTCCCGCCCCTGCCTCCGCCCCCACCCACGCCATCGGCAACCACCCTTTTTTTTTTGCCATGTGCACAGCGCATCGTTAGCGTCGCGTCGCTTCACCTCGCTTCGTCTGCTGCCAGCCCGCCCACGTTCCTTCACCCCCTCACTTCAGCACGCGCACCTTCTGTTCGTCCTCTAGCCCGCTCGCGTCTCGGCCCATTGTCGAAATTTATTAATTACATTCTTGGTCTTATCAAATTACGTTTTGCTAATGCACTCAAATTTATACCTTGCCAGCCGCCCACTTGATCCACCCCCTCTACAGCTAGACCGTCCACCCGCCCGCCCCTCCGGCAGCTCTTGGCCATCGCTTGTTGTTTTTTGAGCTTTTGCTTTTCGGCTCTTTGGCCTCGCGCCCGCACTTTGGGCTCCATCTTATTTATTGGCGGCCATTTTGTTTAAGCTTCCTCTTCTTCTACCTGGGCCACCTGCTGTGCACGCGCGCGTGTGTGTGTGTGTATGGAGTCCTAATTTGTCCTCGTTTGAATTGTGACGGAAATTGGTTTCGCTTTTTATTTCTCTGCTTGACTGTTGCCCCGATGGCTGCCCGCGCCGCATGTTCCTGCCTCACTCGCCTCCTTCCCCGCACCGCGCACCATGCACTGCTACATTTCACTTACCGCTCAATGCTTTTGCCATAATGGCCAATTACAGCGCCAACAACAACAGCAACAACAACAACAACCACAGCTGGGACAACTGTTCCAAGTTGTTGTGCCTGCTGCTGTTGTTTTTGTTGTAGTTTTTGTTATTATTATTATTATTATTGTTGTCATTGTTGTGTTGCCTGTTATGGTTGCTGCTGTTGCGTTGTGTCTTGCAATATGTCGCAAATTTTACTTCCGCTGTTAACAATTTCTACCTACCCCCCTCTCTTTCCTACAACAGCACTCTGCCTATATTTCTTCCGCTTTCTCCCTCTCTCTCCCTCTCGCGTCCTCTCTTTATTTTTATTTGCCTTTTCATATTGATAACAAAGCATGAAAATCAAGCACAAAAAAAAAATAAAGAAAATAAAATACGTTCTAAATTTGCCAATAGGAAATGTACCATTCCAAGTTTGTGTGTGTGTGTGTGTGTGCTATTTTCAGTTGTTGCCCTCAATAAAAGTTGACAAATTTCTATTTAAACGCAAGCCCAGTTAGCGTCCCAGCCCCACATCAGGCACTCCTAGGTCCAACCCAAGTGGAACGAGTGAAATTTCCACAAATAATTCAATTTTGGCTAATGTTAAGTGTAACATGAATATGTATTCAAATAAATGAATGTATTCATTTCGAATTGATATCTCGCTAATGCATTTTATTTGTGCTCATTGGATTCGATTACTCAACAGTCGAATCGGAAATGCCAGACTCTAGCCCGCTGTCAATGAAATTTGCAACAAGCTCTGATATATAAGTATAATTAATTCTTAAAGGTTTTTTATATTTCAGTAGAGCAGGGGAAAACGATTAAGTAGCTTCTCATATGCTGAAGGCTTTGGCTCTTATGGCCGTTCTATTCGCTTCTTATTATTCCATTCGCTTCTTACTAGGCTTCTCACTCCATTTACAACGTCAACTCACATTTCCTATTGCCTCTTCTTCTCGCCTGCCTATGCTTCTCGCTTAACTTTGTTTTTACCATTCCCAGCAATTTGCTCTATTTGGTTATTTCTTCTGTTTTTGGAAACAGTTCTCGCTTAGCTTATCCTTGGGCTTCTCGCTCTGCCTTCCACTTAATTCTATAGTTGATTTCACTTAAGCTTAAATCTTTAGCTTAGATAAGTTGGGTACTCACCTTGATCAGCCACATTGATGACGCCGTCCTGGGCAACCGCTATAGCCGAGATGGCCTGGAAGCGAGCGTTTGAGGAGAGCAGAGTCTCGGCATTGCTCAGGGTGCCGTCGTCGTTGAGGGTGGCACCTGAGCCCAGATTGGAGCCGGCGCCGCCAGCTGTTGTCTTGGCGCCTAGCAGCACAGTTGTGGTTGTGGTGGGTCCGGTGGACATTAGGCTGCCGCCGGCCACAATGCCGGCAAGTGTGCCCGAGTTGCTGCCCGAGATGCCGCCGCCGGGGCAGACGCAGACGCCGCTGCTGTTGAGAACGCCAGCGCCGCTGCCGCCGTTGCCAGCAGCAGAGCTGCCATTATTTCCGTTTCCGCCAGCTGGTGTCGTTGGCGTGGTGCCGCCATTATTGCGTGTCGGATTCACGGTCGTTGAGTAGGCGCCTCCATTGGCCACGCCCAGTCCGGTGGCCGCAGAGCCATTGCTGCCGTTTCCAATTGCACAGTCGCAGGTCTGCGTGCTGCAAGAGGGAGTTGGGATGCGAAGAGGATTGTGGAAGCGTTAGTAATGCATCAGGAAATGCTTGGACCCCTAAACCACCCAACCACCCAGGCACCCACACAAACAATCAGTCCCCCCCCCCACCCCCTCGCCATTGTTATCAGTGGCGCAGGCATCGTTTACATGTCGCTGCCACGCCCCAGACTCGCAACTGCAGAGCCGGAACACAGGCACAGGGACACACAGCAAGGACGCAATGTGGTGCAAGGCGGTGCTGGGTGGTGCTCGCCGAAGCGCTTTGTAACCCGATGCGTATTTATGATGACATTGTTTGTTCGATAAACATTTTAAAGTAAAGTGCAGACACCGACAACCTGACCTAAACCTACCCCTCCCTACACTCCTTGCCCTCGTCCTAGCGCTCCACGACGTCCTCGCAATCGTTTATCGCGCCCTGACCACGCCCATTTTAACCCAAAGCGCCTGTCGCTGCTTCGTGCAGTAGCTACGAAATAAAAAGGTTGATTTATAGTTTCTGTCGTTGGCGCGCCGCCGTTTGCGGTGTCTGCTAATTACTTTTGCCACGTCTGTGCCAGCCACGCCCCTAGAAAAAAAGGGGGCAGCAGCTGCCACTTTCCCATGGCTCAACCCTTTAAGCCCCCACCCATTAAGCGCTCAGACCGCCTCCGCCCCCCTGATCAGGCTGTCCATCAAAATAAGCGCCAGAACAGAAATCTATTAGATTAAATAAACTGCCAGCTGCATTAAGTTACACATAGCATTTACAGTGTGTGTGGGTGTGTGTGTGTGTGCGAATGTGTGTGTAAAATATGCCACATTTATGCCAACTCTCCACCTGTCGCGCTGCAAATTTCGCGTGGCTCAGAGCAGCCGCAAACTAATCAACGAAACAAATTAATTGGTTTACTTTGTTACATTTTTGCGGTTCATTGAGAGCGATAGACATAGAGAGAGCAAGAGAGATACGGGGAAAGATACATCTCCTTCTATTCCATTTTAAGGTCGCATTTATATTAATTTTATACATATTCCGCACTTCATGGATATTTTCTTATTATCATTTACCTCAATTCAACATTCAGCTCATTTTGTGCATTTGTTCACTTTTCCCATCGATTTTAAGGCATTTGTCAACACTGATTGCTCGTTTTTGACTTGTCTTAAGCTGCTTTAATGTTCAAACTTTGCAGAATTCTTTTATATATATTTGCTGAATATTGTTTCGATGGTCACAATATCTATTCGCGTGTTAACACCTCATTTAAAGGCATTTTACAACACTGATCAATCATAGCCTATTTCTTTTCAGTAACTCTTCGAGCTAATTCACTTTTAAAATATTCTCTTGTTAATTGGCAGCTAGTTTATTTGAATGTATTGCCCTCTTGATTCAGTTAGCTTAAATCTTATTTGTGTTTGTTACAACATTCGCTTCTTTTCTGCGCATTTTACAACATTTGATTCAAGTCTGGTGTGGCTTGGTTCACTTGCAATTTGCTCACAAATGGTAGCAACACTATTTATGCCCAATTGATTCAATTACTTTGAGTGTTGTCCAAGCTTTTATTTATAAGCGTTATTGTTCATTTACTTTTTGTTCATTTCTAAGAACTTTCCAACGCTGTTTGACCAGAAATAATTTATTTTGCTTTCATTTTCCTTAAATGCATTTTCCAACACTGTGTGCGGTCGCAACAGCACAAAATGCTGTGTGGCATACACACACCAATGCACACACACGCACAGACTCCCAAATAACAAAAATCCAATTATTTTTTTGGTCACTGTTTTTGATGCTTTAAAGACGTTTTAATCAAGTCAAATAAAGTAAACTGTGCGGCGCATCTATCGTTTGGCCTCAAATGCACACACACACACACAAACACATACTGAGCGACTTGCTGCATTGACATTTATTGGCCAAGTTTTGGTTGTATTTGCGGCAAATTTTGTGCAAGTGCAGCGTAAATATTGTTATACCCGTTACCAAGGGTAAGGGGTGTATTATGCAGTCACGTGTGCATGCAATAGGGAAAAGGAAACATGCTGAGTCATTGAAACGACCCCAGAATCGATAAATATCGATTTGCAGCTCGGGCTCTCTGAGACTCCCAAGGTGAGTTTTTGTTTAACATAAATATTTCGATTATCTTTTACTTTCTCCCGTCGTTTCTTCCAAAAAAGCAAAAATATCATGGTTTATTTAGGTGGCCTGAAGTACAGAGTCTCTGCTTGTCGGGCAAAGTCGACTAGGACACTAGTGTTATTATTTATGCCACTGCATTGACCCCTTCTAACCGTTCCCCAGACACATCGTTCTTGGCCAACTGCAAATGGCCAAAAAGCGTTCGAAGCGTCACATAATTGGGTCAAATATGCGCATAAACAAGTTGCCAGCCCCAATGGCCCCTTGGTGATCCCGGCAATGGGTGAATGCCGGAATGGGTCAGGGGGTCAGCAAGGGGCAGTTCACTGTAGCTTGTCTACTTACCCCGTGCCCTCCTGTTTGCCAGCAAAGTAACGCATGTTGCCGGCGGTATCTACGACGCGTATGGAATTGATGCGCCTTGAATCGCTGTCCGCTATGTAGAGATCGCCGAAGGGTGAGAAGGCCATGGCCAGCACTGTGCCCAGCACATTGTCCGTGGCTGTCTTGTTGACGCGACTATCCTGACCATTGTTGCTGCAGTGCAGCGGGGTGCCAGCCACGACGCGTATCTTCATATCGGAGGTGAGCCGGAGCACGAGACGGTCGTCGATGAAGTGAAGCGAGCCGTCGAGTGGACTCAACGCCAGACCCGTTGGCCACTGCAGCTGCGCCTGGTTGGCCATCAGCGTGCCCGAGCACGGTGCCGGACTCCAGTGATTGTGATGACCATGATGGCCAATAAGCGTATGAATGACGCCCTTCGGGTCCACAGCGCGTATATTGGTGCCATCGGCAATGTACATGGTGCGATCGGCGGCAATGGCCAAGCCCTTGGGATGGGAGAGACGCGCCTGCAGCGCCGGGCCGCCATCTCCGCAATTGCCCTCGTCTCCGGGTATGCAACGCTGACCGCTGCCCACGACGGGTTCACTATTGATGCTGGGATCCTTGACTTTCTCAAGGCGCAGCAGGCGCAGTATCTGATGCCGTTCCGGATCCGAGATATACAAATGCCCATCAGCCGGCGAAACGGCCAGATAGTATTGATACGAGACCTGCGTTGCGCTCAGCTGGAGTATGGTGAAGACCTTGCCGTCGGGCGTGATGCGGCGCACCAGATTAAAGTCGCCCACATAGAGGCTGCCATCGGGTCCCGTGGCCAGTGCGATGGGTGTCAACAGTTTGGCATCCTTGGCAACGCCATTGCAATAGTCCGGACAATTGAGCGGACGCTGTAGACCTGTGCCCATGACGACCTTGACGGTCCGTGGGTATTCCTTCATGTGCAGCGTGGAGCCATCGCCCTTCTGGAGGATGCCCTCATGGAAGTTGTAATGGTGATGTATGTCCAGACCCCAGCCCCCAATATCGGAGATGTCCACATCGTAGCCCTGCAGCTTGGCCGTCTGTGTTATCCAAACGGGAGTCTGGCACGTGCTGTGTTGGTAGCCCACGGAGATGCGAGCGATGGTCACCCCGTAGACCTTCTGCCTGTAGACGTTGCGCTTGTTCCAGGCGAACGTGTGTATCAGATTCGGATCGGCCTCGTACGTCTTCACATGGAGTGCGCCCTCGATCTCCACGCCCACATGCACATGGGTTAGGGTCTTGGGTATTGCCTCCGAGGTTAAGCGCATGCGCACAATGCTCAAATAGCCGGAAGCCTGCGAGGACTGGTAGGTAAGGTGCAGATCCGAGCCAGGTATTTGAATGGATTCCTGCACGATCTGTTGTTGTGGAAGAGAACAAGAGGAAATATTGGCGGCTCAGTCTTGTAAAGCGATAAAAGGAAGTATAAATAAGAAAACAAGAGAAACATAAACTAGAGTTAAAGAGGGGCGAGGGACTAAATAAAGAAACGGATAGAACAGGATGTGATAGATAAAAAGAGAGAGTGAGAGGGAGAGAGAAAGAGAGTACGCAACAGCTAAGCAGTGTTGCATAATGCGTCAAACTGCAATAAACTTGCAAAATAAGCGAAATGCTGAAATGAATCAGAAACTATAGCCAGCAAAAAAAAAATGAAGCCCAAAGGCGAATATAGATGGCCGAAAGGTGAATATGGGGGCCTTTTAGAGAGAACTACAACTGCCGCTGCCACTAAGTGAGTTGGTTATTAAGCCCTGCGGTCGGAGCAGGGTCCACAGGGCACAGATGGCACGAAGCATAATGCAGCAATTAAATGTAATGCTCTCACGCGTTGCCTCTGTGCCACACAGCTCACTTATTTTTTCACTCTCTCTCCCTATCTCCCCCATTTGGCGGAGAGTTATTGTGTGCTTGTGCTTCGCTCGTCGTTGGTAAATGCAAAGTTATAATGTCATTAGGGCGAACTTCAAATTAATTAAAACTACGCGGAGTCCAGCTGCTGCCACGGCCCGCTAATTAGGAGTGGCATTAGAGGATGAGCCGGTAACAGCAGGGGGTAAACCTTAAGGAAGCGAATGGGTTGTAGATGGGTGCTAAACTCACCTGAGTCTCGGCAAAGATGACGCGCTTGCCGGGCATGGCGCCGACACCATTTGGCATCCAGGTGCTTATCAGCTGCGGCTTCAACTTCTCGTGATCGTGATCCATGCAAACTTTGCTCGCATCGTTCGCTTCGTCCGCCGTGTGATAGTGTATGGAGTTGAGGAATGTCAGCGCTGGATTCAAAGGAGCCACCCTATGGAAATTACAGTTGAGACAAATATTAGTACATGTTGCAGTTAGGTTGAGGCTAGTGGCAAGTGCGAAGTTATGCAACTTCATAACTTCGCGTGTCACGTTTGCTCTTAAGACTAGACTATCAGCTCAGTAAGAGATAGCTGAAGCAAAGTTCGTGCCTTTATTTTCATGTCGTGCCTGCTCGTGATTTACTAGCGACAATATGAGAAGCCTTGCGCTAAAAATCCGTGATACGATTAAGCTGAAAACTGGACAGCATGAGCTGTAAATATCTGTTGGACTTTCTGGTCTTAGGCGGTAGCTTTTTCTCGTGCCAAAAGCTCTTTTCGTGCGTGTTCACGAAAAGCCCAACAATACAATCAGATCAATCATAAAAGATAACACGAGTAAGCCAAATATTTTAAACACTTCTCAGAGCAATAAACTTTTGCGTGAGCATTGGTTCTGTTTTTGAACAGGTGCGTGCTTGGAGTTCGTGATTGAACTCGTGCTCGTGCTTGAACAATTACCGATATGCGCTTTGGCTCGAATGATGTATTTAGATCGATTCGCTTCTTATATATTATGTATAAAAAGTTGATTCCAAACTTACTTGATATTGCGACTGGTGGTCTCGTCATCGTCGCTCAGCTGCATCTGCACCGGAGGCAGGACTACAATACGATTCCAGGGCACGAAGACGGTGCGGGTGAGTGGGCGGAAGGGTGAGCGTTGGAATTGCAAGGTGACGGCACCGCCGCCATTAACCAGCACATCGAACCTGTGTGGGAGAAGGAGGGAGAGACAGATAGAAGACAGCGTTAGTACGAGAAAGAGAAAAAATCATAGCAAAAAAAAACTTGTGCAGCATCAAATTTAACGGTACAAAACATGCAAATTAATATTTTAATGAACTTTGGGGCCGCGCATTTGTGTGCGTTTGACGCACGAGCACACAGCCCCCACAACCCACCAGCCCCACCCCCACAAGCCCATGCGACGGCAATCGTAGCGTATGCTGAGCTGATAATACCTCAATTGTTTGTCGAAATTGAAAAACTTTAGGATTTTTGCTTGAGCAGCAACAACAGCAACTGCTAGAGCATAAGTTGGGACCTCAGTCAGTTGCAGTCGAGTCCCAGGCCAATCCTTAAGCTGCACCCCTCCCCCTCCCGACGAGGGAGCCCCAACCGTGTTAGCCGCATTAAACATAATGATGGCGATTGCGTTTGTGCCGCCTTCTCATTATTACGAGTATTTTTCGCATTGGCGTACGAAAAGTTGCAAAAAGTTGAACCAGGCTAGCCGAGTGGCAAGAGAAGGCGAGGTGAAAGAGCCGTATTGGAAAACAAAGGCTAACAACAACAATAACAACAACAACAACAACAACAGCAGCAGCTAGAAATGGCTAAAAGGCGTGGCCAGTGGCGCAGAAAGCTTAAGACATGGCAAAACTTTTGCTTTCGAAATATTTAATTAATGTGATTTTTAATTGTGTTTGTGCGAAAGAGCACGAAACAGGCGCAGCATCAGAAAGAGACAACAAACGAGTGAGCGAGAAGAAAAGAACAGCGACATGCCACAAACTGCTGCCAGCTGCCGCACACGAAAACTGCGAAATCCAACTTTTTGATAACTTATCGATAACTGGCACGCACACTCTCCCCGCCCTCGACCATTCCCCTGACTGTGGCATATGGTCGGCGGGGTAAGCGGCGGTTAAATAATTGAATGAACAATAATTACATTTTATTTTGCAATAAACAACAGCTAAGCCACAATTATAAACATTTAAATAAATAAGCAAAATTACAAACGAAACGAAACGAAACTTATCCGACTGCGCTGTACCCTATACAGCTCAAAATAGTTGGGCGAGGGACTCTTTGATAATGCAAAACATATACTTAGCACGAATGTTCGGACTCGAGAATAGGAAATTACGAAGCGTTATGGATTCTTCCTTACAGCAGCTACGCACAAGTCTCGAGTCCCAGCCAAACATGTCACAAAACAATATACTCTGCAGCCACATTTGCGCACAGGGTATACAATTAAATATTTGTTACAATTTTTGCTAATTTAATTTAATTGTTGTCACGCTTAAAAAACGGTACAACTGTTGTTATTCTTATGACAATTGTTGTTATTTTAATCGCATTTATGCACGCCAAACACACACACACACACACACGCACACTCATACGCGTGTTTTGTTGCTGTTGCACATTTATTTACCTGTAATTGAAGGCATAGAATGCAATCTGGCAGGCCTGGCGCGTTGGGCGTGGCAGCTGTTAGGTGGTCATTTGGTAGTGGCTTACACACACACACACTCACACTCACACCAGCACACGAACACGCTCGCACACTCGCGCACTCACACAATGTACAGCTCTAATAATATGTTGCTAAAAATGCCAACAATAATCCCTTGCAGCACATTATAAAGACTTTTATTACCTATATTACTACTCGGACTGACAACAACAACAACAACAACGACAACGACAATTGGTATAACAACGATAATCAACAATGCATGTCAAAGGACAACAGCAACAATGGCAACAAGCAACAGGACAGCAAATGAAGCAGAGCTAAAAAAAATACATAAAAATAAATAAAAAATTATTTTAAAAGGAAAAGAACGCGCAATAAGAACAGCGAAAAACGAGGCAGAAATCTAAAGCGAGCAGACGTCACGACTAGAAATATACCCTGTAATCAGTAAGTCTGAGACTGCAGCGAAGTGAGAAGCGCAGTGATGCACTGATGCAGGGAGAAGCGAAGTGAGTAGTTAAGTTATATATATGCACATATATCTCACTATTGCAAAGGAATAAGTAGACAAGCGCATAACGTCAACAAGTCAAGAAAGAAGCAAAAGCACAAATCTTAGAGTTTTCCAATTATTCGAAATTATTATGCCAACAGTACCCGATATAGCTTGTTCTAGCTTCTTAGGTCGCATCAACAATCATAAAAACAAATTAAATTACTTCTTTAAGTGCCTCTCGCTTCGCTTCTAATCGAAAAGTGCTTTTCGCTTCCTAAAGCATTTTTTTCACGCGGCCACTTTGGTAATTATATGATAACATGTTAGACCCTCTTTGCTCACTCTATAGGGTATAGGATATAAAAAGCTACTAAAAATATTACAAAAAAAAGTGCAAAATGAGCACAGCATGTTGTGTGCTGTTGCTGTGCGGCTGTGTGTGTGTGTGTTTGTGGGTGTGTGGCAAGCTTAATAAGAGCATAGAATTGAAATAAACATTATAAATACAAAGCCATAAAAACAAACTCGCGCGAACATTAACAAGAGCAACAGCGACAACAACAGCAAGTTAGCGTTAACAACAAGCAACAGCCAAAAAGTATGTGTTACACATGTAAGTAGGTATCGCATACATATGTATGTGCTCGCGTTCATATGTGTGTGCATGCGAGCGTGTGCTGAGTTGCCAACGAAAGAACAGGACAGGGGGCGGAACAGCAGCAACGGCAAACACAGTGAGTGACAAAACTATTCGCATAATTCATAAGCTGTGTGAGAAACAACAGATACCCAAGTCAAAGTTGCAGAAAGACGCAGAAAACTCGAAGAATCCATGTAGTAATAGGTATTCCTTTGAATTAAATAGCCTGCGCTCTTTTCTTTGTCTCTTTAACTGTTGGCTTAGGCTGAGAAGCGATGTGTGAGAGAAGAAGCAGAAAGAAACTTCCCGATACTTTTCTCCTCTCTCTCTCTCTCTCTCTCTCTCTCTCTGTCATTATATGTTTGCATTCTTATTTTACTTCCCTCGCATAGTTTTGCCTCTTTCTCGTTCACTGTCGCTGTTTTGTTTTTTATTTCATTTTCTATTCGCTTATTTGTTCGCTTCTCACTTTGCTTCTGGCTTCTGTTAAGATGTTTGGTTTTCTTCTCGCTGAAATAGCGAGGATTCGCTTCTTTTAATTCAACCTAGTTATTAGCTTCCTCCTTTACTTATTTCTTCCAGTCTTCTTCTTCTTATTCCGCCACTTAAACTTCTTTTTCGCTTCCCGCTTTGCTAGGCTTATATTACTCATCGATCAGCTTCTTCTTTGCTTCAATATATTAGTGAATATTAGTTTAAATGCTCACATTTTCCCACCTCTCCCTGATCGATGTGAGAGCAATAATCAAGGTCATCGCATTCACCCAATATTTTATTAAAAATAGTCAGCCTGTGCGCACACCCTGTATTATTTAACCTTTTGCGGCGACTCGTTTAGCTGGTTGCATCGAGTAACTAAAACTCAAGCTCAATGGGAATCCAAATGGGAAACATTTAGTTTATTGCATGCAAGTGTGCAATATTTTCATTGCACACTGTGTGCTGCTTTGAAGGCAGGCACATTTAATTTTATAGAGCACTGTGCAGCTACCCTGTTCCGACCCCGTCCCCCTGCTCCACACAGTCGACTGGCTGTGTGCGACCATCATATGCGGACTATAGAGCTAAAAATAATGTGAACATAAACAGGAATTATTGCCAGCTAAAAGTAAGAATGTTGCAAGAAGAAGAAGAAGCAGACAAGGAACTTTAAAGCCCTTCAAAGGCAGAAGCACAAGACAACACCACATACACGAGTTCCGAAAGGGATAGATAAACAACAACAAAGTAGCCATAATAAAAGTAAATAAAAACTGAAGAATTTATGTGCTCCACCAAATCAGAGCTCTAAGAAGCTGACAACGAAGGACACACACACACACACACACACACACACAGGACACAGAACAACTAAAATCAGGACTTGTTTGTTATTTTCTGTGTATTTTCTATATTTTCTATTTTCTCCGCTGCGTTTTGTTTTCTTGGGCGCTTGCTTTATAATTATTGTTTACGTAGTTGTTGTTGTTGTTTTTGCCTCTACTGATTGCGAAAAGTGGTGTCACGACGGGGGGGGGGGGGGGGGGGGCGGTAGACGTAAAGAAAGGCAAATGTGAAAAATGGTCAACGCTAGCGGCATTTAACGGCCACTGGGCTAATGAGAAATTATGGCACAGTAGGTAAAAATGTTAGCACACATATAAGCATGCACAAAAGTATGCAACACTTTTTGAAACGAACAAAACCAACTGCTGCTGCTACAACAGTATTTCTCTCAGTGTGTGTGTGTGTGTGTGTGCGTGTGTGTGTGTGGCTAAGTAAATATAAATAATCATCACAGTTAGTTTGTCCCTTTGTCTGTCTGGCTGTTGCACAGATTTTCTTCTTGCAATACCCTGTAGCCGTTTGAAATGTAAGTAGCGGGATATAAAAGCCAACCAATGTTGCACATAAATTCACATATTTTTTTCTCTTTTTGTTTCTTATTATTATCCATCATTTTCGAAATTCTCATTATCATTCCATATAAAAATCGTTGAAGTCTCTGCAGAGTGAAGTGGCCAGCTTGAACTTATCCATCTTCTTTCCAAGTGCGTGTTTATTTATATGCACATCTTCATATTCACATTATTATTTATATTTAAACATCCCTAAGAACTATGTACAGGGTATCTTTGAGTTGAACACTTTTAACCTAATTTACAACATTTGTTGTTGCTGGACATAATAAAATCAGCAAAGCGGGTGCGAAATGGTTATTCAAATTGGCCAGCAAATACACACACTCACACACACACCCAATCATACACACCCAAATACACACACACACATGCTAGGCAAAGAAAATGTCAAAAAAAAAAACAACAAAAACATTTTAGATGATTTTGCTGTTGTTCTGGCAACAGCGGAAATCCTTTTTACCAAAAACAACTGCAAAAATATTTATATTAGATATATTGGATTGGCGAGCGTTCTCTTTACCCAAACCTCGTCCCTAGCACAGCATTTCCATTTTCTATTCCTATTTCCATTTTGTATTTTCATTTTCCTTCTTCTGCGTGTGTGTGTGCGTGGGCGTGTTGTTTGTGTGTTTTGATTTAAATTTCATTCCAGCAAATGCCAAATGCGAACGACGTTCAAATGTGCTGACAAAATATTTGTTGGATACATTTCTGTCTGACGTTGTGTCTAGTATGCTGATTGAAGGAGCAAAAGCAAAAACTCCAAATACATTTATTTATATATTAATGTATTCTTTTCATTTGATACTAGAAACTATCGACTATAGAGCAGGTAAACTGTCACTACTTAAGAGGTTTTTGGCTATTGATTAAACCGAGAGCAAGGAATCGTGGGCATTCCTTTATTTGATATATCGATATTTGCCAAGAACACTATCGATAGCTGGCTATAAGTATCTCTGATTTCAAGCAATCGATAACGATCATGATGTCCTATTTTTATTTGATGCAAGAAGCTTTTGGTAATACTGACAATCGAATGTTATCTACAATTCGACAAGAAAATTGAAAAATATCCGAATATTTGTAAACTATATGGTTTCGATACCGATGTTTAAATGAAACATAAGCATGACATAACTAAATAACAAACACGGCCACACTGTTGCATTTTAACTGCTTGCAAATTGCCAGCAATGTACGTGAGCTGCATACTCGGCTTGAATGAAGGCATCTTGGTATAAATATAGCTTTTTCCGGCATTTACGGCCCATTAATCAGCACAAATTGCATTTGTGTCTTGCAATATTCTCCGTTTTTGCTTCCTTTGTTGAAAATTTGAAAATGTTATTTGGCCAGCTGTTAATAAGGACTTTTTCTGTTTGTGTTTTGGGTTCAGTTGTCACGTGTCTCGACTTGACAAAGCGCGTTTAAATAAGTTAAATCTAGGCTAAGAAAAAGTAGAGGGCAAAAAAACCACAGATGCCACTGCTGTCTCTGCCCCAATTCCATGTGCTGGTCTCTGCTCGGGCTTCGTGGGGGTCACATCAAAGTGAAAGATTTAATTAAAAAGTGATAACTTGCTTTATCTGCCTGTGTACACTTGGCCTGTGCCCAACGAAATTCTATTAACAAAATGTAATCAAGAGAAAGCCAAACGAAAGTTGGCCAAGATGCGAGCAGCAGCAGCCCAAACTTGCGCGCCAACTGGCTGACAAATTATGAAAAATTACTCATACGTAAGTAATTTGCATTTCGAGGGCCAAAAGATTAAAAAAGCCGCCCATCGACTACGAAAAGAATTTAATGAGAATCTAAATCTTTAGCCAGGCACTTGGATACCGCCAAAGCGATTATACTTATAGGCATTCAATTAATAGCTAAACTTTGTGGGAATTATCCTTAGGGGCTTATGCGAAGACTTAAGACACAAAAAATATTTAGTTCTTATATCAAAAATTTAATTAAGAAAATGATTATGGCTGAGATGTAGAAATCAGCTAAGGGGGCAATTAGGGGAGTTTGAATATTTACAAGCCAAAATATTCATAAATTTTAACATGAAGTTCTACTTATGTGGATGCTAGCTAAACAAAGTACTCCCCCAAAAAATGTCCTTAAAAAGAAGTTGGAAATTATATATAATTTATATTTTATAATTTGCAATCAAAAGACTTTGGGTCATTATTGATTTAAGCTTAAGCTAGTTTACCATGAACTTAAGCTGTATATTACAATGTGGTTTACTTACCAGCCGCCCTGTCGTGTCAGGGTGAAGCCAAAGCGTGAGTCACGATCCACCGAAACGCGTATGCCAACAATGCCAAGTCCCTGGGGCGTTATGACCTGGCCGCGCATAACCGAAACGCGACTGTGTTGGAGAGTCGATCCAGAGATAGAGAGAGAGAGAGAGCGGGAGAGAGAGTTGTGTGAAGAGTCGATTCGTGGTATGGGCGATGTGGCGGGGTGTTTGTAAAAGAGAAAAAAATTTTGTTAGTTACGTGCTTTAAAATTGTTTTGTTTGCTTTTTCTGTTGATTTGTTTCTTGTTTTGCTTTCAGCTTGTTTCGTCAAATCATAAAAGAACCAAAGTGTAAACAAACATCGAGTTGTAACTATGTAAGTATTTTGTATAAAATAGTTATTTATATTTATATATATGTACGAATAGTATCGAGTAATTAATATTTAACTAATATCCATATAAGACAATATATAATAAAAACAAGGGCAATTTTTTGTATCATTTTTTTACTCTGTTTAAGAGAAAACGAAATTAATAGAGTAATTGAGAAAATATTCATAAATTTTATTATATGCATGTGTATGTATTTATAAATGTGAGCAAAATGGATGATAGATGTGAAAAATGAGCCTATGTCTCAGTGTGTGTCTGTGTAAGTGTGCGTGTGTGTGTGTGTGTGTCTGTTTGGGCGTGCGTTTTGAAGTATTTGATTTGCTATGTACACATTCAGTCTGAAAATGTCTTTTCGCTTGGATAATTCAATTATTGAAAACAGCTTGGCAAATAAATGTACACAGGCCTCAATATATTTTCACAGCCTCTTCTGTTCAGTGTGTGTGTGCGTGTGTGTGTGTGAGAGTGTCTGTTTGTGTGTGGGTAGCTACAAAAATGAAAGGAAATATTTAAGTATTTAACTTGATTTTTTGTACAGGTGAAGAAAACACAGTTGGCACGCAGCTTTGGAATGGAATGGAAATAATTGAAGTACATGAACTGTGGATTAGCTTCAGGGATTTGGGATATGTACGCAATTAGAAAGGGCAATCGTAGGGACAAACAAGAGCACTTGGGTATGCCACGAGCTGTGGCAAGTCCATTAAGCTGCGGCCAAGATAAACTACAGATAAGTACATTTACATAAGTTATGTAAAACGAACTGTGCATAGTTTATCGATTGCTGAGCTAAGCGATAGCGTGGTGATCGATAACATTGATTAAAAACTGCGATTATATATAGTAGCGCATCGATACACAGACAAAATGCATGGTATCGATACAAAGCAGCGTTAATCGGAAAGTATCGTTAGGACTTCTCAATAAAAACAATTGAACAACACAATTTAAAATTGGCGAGTGTACCGATATCGATAAGTGGCAGCAACAATCGACATACATGTTATCGGAAGAAGCAATTTTCGAAAGTAAAAAAATAAATGCTTAACATCGATAACAAATAATTCTAGCCATCGATTGAATGCATGGTAAGTTTTACTATCGCTGGGCTCAGCAAGAGATAGCTAGGAATGCTGGGAATTTATCAAGAAGCATGCAAAATAGAACAACTATAAGAATAAAGTGAGAAAATACAATACTTTAAGATAAGATAAGATGAAATTGTTTCAGTTTTTTTGCTTATAATTTGTGGGCAAATCTATCGATAATATTTTTGTAAAACGTTTAAAAGTTCATGAATTACGAACGGATGGATTATCTGAACAGAAAACGTATTTTATATTTATATCGTAAGGTATATATATAACGGCAAAAGAAACTAAAGAATTATCGAACAAACTGAACAAAGCAAAATATGCTAATAATTGTTGGTTACCCACTGAAAATGTGATATTTTCCACAGCTGTAAGGCAAAAGTTAGTGATTTTATATAATCGATAGGTACTTATATCGATAAATACCGATAAGGGATAGGTTTATAATTTGTAGAGGCAAATTAAAAGGATTTTTTTTTGTAAATTGCTTCTGAACTTTTTTGGGTTCCATAATTGATAAATACATTTGTCGACGGCTACTTTAAAGTGTTGAAATGGGTTTTAATGTTTAATGGAGGCATCTTATAGCACTTGGTACATCATGTGTTATCCTAATTCAGTCCAAAAACTGGGTTTGTTCTAAAAAAACTTAGCGACTTGCCGAGACATTTTGCTAAGACTTGGTACAGTTGCTTCTTACTGAACCGGGCCTATAATAATGAGCATAACAGTTCCTATAAGAAAAGATTTTGCAACAAAGTCATTTGATAGTTGGCAGTTTTCTCTCTATTTAAAAATTGATTCTACAGGATATTTGTTCTACAACCTTTAGTTTTTCGCATCTCCGACTACCAAAAAATTGAAATCGATTATACTTGAGACAAATCTAGAGCTGCTACCTATGTAAACTGGAGACTAAACACGAGCCACCAAAAAGGCAGCAAAGGAGAATGAAAAAGAATAAACGAAGCAATAATAAAAGCAGAAATTCCATTTAATGAGCTGTTACCCAGCAATTGCGAAACTATGGCAACCCTGGCAGCAGCAATGATGGGGCAACCAGTGCCGATATCCGGTTTGCCAATTTGCTTGAAAAATATGAAAGAAAAATATGCGTGCTGCCTGGGCCTGGACCGAAGTTTTTGGCAACTTTTCTCCTTTATTTACTTATTTTTTGCAGCTTGCGCGTTGTGAGGGCTTGAAATAGGGGTTGGGGGTGTTTTTAACTTGGCAAAGAAACCTTGAAACAAAATGCCGCAGTGTGACGGCCATGGAGACTCTTCAAATGGCGCAATTGTTTGCACTAATTATTGCTGGACTGGGAGCAGTAGAGGCGGCAGACAGCCGAGGAGAGGGCAGCAGGGGCTGTAACCGGAGCGGCAGAAGCGGCAGCAGCCGTTAAGGGTTGGGTTGGTCGGTCGGATTGAGCACCTGCCCCCTCTTTGCTGCTGCAGTTAGCTGTTGTTGCCATTACCATTGCCTCTTCGAACTTTTGCCGGAGCGAAGTTGGCAAAACATTTTCAAGTTTTCAAGTGTTGCAATTTCTCAACCACCCCCGCACCACATGCACCACGCACCACGCACCATAGCCACCGCTCAGCCCTTGACTCTGCGCACATAAACACATAATGTACAATATTTGGGTCAGATATGCTGTGTGTGTGAGTGCTGCAATGTTTGCCATGTTGGGGCAGCACCACTTGGTGGTGCAGGGCACTTCTTCAGTGACGTCTAATTGCAATTGACCAAATGCCGAGGCAGTCGCTCAGTCAGGCTTCAGCAGCAACAGCAGCAGCAGCAGCAGATGCCGCCTATTTGTAAAGCAGAGTATTGTCGTCCTGCGTGTGTGTGTGTGTATGTGTGTGTGTGTGTGCGCCTGTGCTTCATCTCGTTCATTTTTGCTGCTTCAATTCGATTCAATGAAGCACAATTTTATTTGAAATCAAACCGAAAAGCAAATTGCATGTATATAAAAATATGTCTGTGTGTGTGTGTGTGTCTCTCTTTGTATGTGTATATATATGTGTGTGTGTGTGCAGTGCCGTTTTGCTCGTGTGTATTCCAATTCATTGAAGTGGTGAGTGCCATTGATTTTTATTTCGCATTTGATTCGTTTGGTTTCATTTATTATTTATTTGATTTATTTTTACTGCAGCCCAGACGCGCGTCTGCCTAAGCCCCCAGCCAGCTAACACTCACACTGCCACGCCCACTCTGGGCCAACAGCGGGCGTGGCACAAGCAACCTTTTGATTTGGCCCTTGCCATACAAGTAAATTACTCATACGCCACGTCTGCCGCTTGCAGCTGCTTGGTGTTTCGACTTTGACTTTGATTTTCTCACAATTGAGTGGGTAGCTGGGCGAGAGAGGGATAGAGATAGAGGTGGAGAAAGTGACAAAGCAAAGACAGCTATCTTGGCCAAAATTTAATAGCCCAGCATATATAGCATAGGCACGATATATAGTATATATTCACACAGAACGGAGTTTGTAATCAAAAACTCAATGCAACTTCCGGCCGATTGCTCCCATAGCAGCTACATAGTAAAGTGCCCCGAAGTTGAGAAGAAGCACGCACTCAAAAAATGTTTCGAGTGATAGTTCCTCTCATATCTAAATGTAGCCTAGTTATAGTCTTCCGATGCGACCTAGTTTGACAATTTCATTGTCGATATCAGAGAACAGAGATGTTCGTCTATGAATTCGTTAACAATAAAATTTAGTGGAGTTCAGTTTACGGTTCGAACCAGTAGCCGGTTCGAATAGCCGCACGTTTTGGCTCATATTAACCCAGGTTTTGAATGGAAACTTTACAATCTCACTCTTCACGAATACACACACGCAAATACCCTACGACCTACTCCTCGCTTTTGTTTCGTGTCCTTTCTTTCCATCTTACTCTTTTTAAGCCCTCGCTGGCCTTTCACCTTTGGGACGCTCGCGCATTTGTGGACAGCAATTCAATCAGTTTGCGAGCTCCTCTCCTCAATGGGCGGCACTCGAAATTATGACGTCATAAAGGCATTTAGTGTAGAAGTAGTTGAAGAAGAATAAAAAGAAGCAGCAGCAGCAGATGAAGCAGCGACAACAAAAGCAAATCCGGAAACGATAGCTGAAAAGTAATCTCGACGGTGCGGAGCGGCTGCGCGAGTGCCGCCCAGTGATTGCCATTGGCCTTGTGGCGCCACCAGCTTGTGGCAGGCAGCAGCTGAACAATGAAGTGAAAGCAATGCCACAAAAATTTCTAATCTCGACCGAGGTCAGAGCAGCAGTCGCAACACTTCCACTCAGTACACCCTACCCCGCCCGTGCAGGCAGCCCCTCGCTCGGACTAATCGCCGTTGCAGCGAATGAGCAATAAACCAAGTCAAGAGCCAGCAGCTAGGAGTGTGGCCCGGCACGTGAGATGGGGCGCGCATTGTCGCCACAGCCACCTTTTGTGTCAAAAGTGCACTTCCATTATTAGCGCATTGTGTGGCTAGGGGAGGGGGCAGGGGGCTGGGCGGCGTTGGTGGCGCCTCGCAAAATATGAGTAGCGCGCATAAAAGGAAGTGCATTTAATTTCTTTTCTTTGCCAACTCTGGCTCAGGGGTAAGGGCTGAGTCGTGCGGTGGAGAGCGAAAGGGGGAGAGGGGGTCA